AAAGTTGACTTTATTTCTTTTTCTTCTACTTTTGTTATAATTATTCTTCAATGTTGTGATTAAAATCATTAATTTATAATTAAATTCACAACTACATGTGAAGGTTATCATACAAACTCAGTGATCACTAGACTACCATTAATTTTTGGTCAAAATACACCTTATAATATATTTATTATATAATTTAATATAAATTTAATTAAATCGATTGAATCAGTGATCCACCGGTTGAACTAATGACTCAATATCTCGATCGAGTTGATGACTGGGCCAAGTTTTAAAATACTTGATAAAATAGTCACTTTCTTTTGTTATTTATATTAAGAGTTGGGGAAAATGTGTGTCATTTTAAAGAACAAAAAGTTGTGTCATTTTAAGTGAGAGAAAGAGATAAATCATGGGGGGGAGAGAGTAGAGAGAAATTTTTTTAAAGATGTGGGTCTCACCTCTTTGTGACAGTGAAAGGATGCAAGGTGTGTCATTTAAAATGACACATCTTTTTCCCTTAAGAGTTTAATGATTCTCGTATTATAGAAAATAAAATTATCTCATATATATTCTCGTGTATATATATATATATATATATGAAAAACATTTTCTCATATTGCATGAGAATTGAATTCTCATGCTGTGACTCTTCGATTTGTGTGCAAATTTTTTTTTTCTTTTTTTTAATAAATGTGGGGCCCACCACTAGTTGAGTCACAACATGAGAAAATCAAACCCCATATATATATAGGGGTTTACATTTCTGCAGCTGATGTACGTGCTGCAATCAAATACTTGCCATATATATACTTGAAAGCATTAAATGCGGGGAATCATAACCATACAAAGGATGAAAGCATTAAATGCGGAGAATCATAACCATACACCTGTCGTTGTTGTACGTAAAGCGACTGCAGAAATAATTTTACCATATATATATATATGTGTGTGGGAAAATGGTCTCTAAAGTTACTTTAGAGAAGGAGTAAATATCATTTTGAGTCCTTAACATAAAATATGGTTCCCACTTCAATCCCTTACAAAAAGAATAGTCTCGAGGTTCCTATAAAATTCAAAATGGATTCATTTAGTTAAAATCGTGGTCCCTCACAAATTCAAAAAGACTCACATTAGTCACTCTAAGGATTAAAATGGGTCCACTTTGAATTTCATAGGGACCAGACAAAAAACTTTTTTTACCCGCGGGATTATTAACAGTACCATTTTTGGAAAATGTTAATAAATTTTGTAAGGGACTAAAATACGGACCATATTTTTTGTTAGAGACCCAAAATGATATTTACTCTTAGTGAAGTTATCCGGAGTTTTAAAAATATAACTATATACTCCTGAAAGTATATAGTTATATATATATATATATATATATTGGTAAATGTATAGTTATATTTTTAAAGATGCAAAAAATTTCTCTCTTCTCATAATTGTCGTCTGACATGGTAGAGAAAAAAATAATTTTCTAATTACAACTATGTACATCCAGGAGTACATAGTTGTTTTTTAAAATTGTAGATAAATTCTCTAAAGTTATTTTAGAAAAATTAAACTATATATATATATAAGATAATTTTATGTTTATAACATAAAAAAAATCTGATTCTTATATTAATTTGTTACATGAATTAGAATACGATTATTAAATGACCTCAAAATTGTCATTTTCAAAAAGAGAAGTGTTGACATACACAAAAGAAGGAGCCAATTAAGTGGTTCAATATTGTTCATCATGTACCAAAAAGGCGTACGTGGATAATATCAGTAGAGCTGTAGATCCAAAGTCCCATCAATATGTACACACTTACTTTTTATATGTCGTGGGTAAATCTTAAATGATTTTTACGCGTCCAAAAAATTAAACTTTTTATATGATTTTTTTTTTGGTAATAATTTTATATGATTTTTTTAATAAGACTTATGCTTACCACATCTTTCCACTTACAATTTATTACAATTATTTTTATTGTTATAGCATCAAAATCTAATAAATAATTACAAAATTGTATGAAGTCGGAGTAATTGATTTAATTTTGATTTAACACAATGAATTTCCCTTAATTTTTTAAATAATAAAATAATATATGTATATTTTGTAAAGCAACCATATATTTGAACCCAACAACTTAAGTTATTAAATGAAGACCTATTAATAATTTTTTATATTATATATCTCTAACACGTTCCTTAGCGTAAGAGTCCATTGAGCTCAAAGAATGAATAATGCAATATATGCTAAGAAACTCTATAATATTTAATTATTTATTAATAGAATGGGGCGGTGATGATCAAATTCATGATCCTGTGATCAATGAAGGATCTGATACCATCTAAAACAATCATTTCAATCCAATAACTTAAACTATTAAAGTCGCTATAGGATTGGTCTAATAATGAGGGATTTAAGTAATTTGTATTAGATTATATGTTTAATTTCACCAATATATCCACACACAAAAACTATTAAGTGAATGTCCATCAATAATTTTGTATATTATATCTTTGTAACATCTTTTTGATTTTTTAAATAAAATGTATAAAAATAATGTCGTTCAACACTAAAACCTTTATTTACAGGTTTAAAAATGCATGGCAAAGCCATAGATTTATGATATCATTCCAATCTATAGGTTATATGATATCATTTAAAACTTCCATTTTTTAGTAGGTTATATTTGAAATGTAATCTATAGTGATTCTATCTCAAATTAACTGCAATGCTAAGCTGCTAACTTAATTGTCGGATTGTCTTTGCGAGTATAACACCCTCTTACTCTGTTGGATCAATCGCTTTATCAGGAAGATTCAACGGTTGAGATGAGACGAAATAAAATCAAATATTAGTCATCATTATGTTTTTTAATTAGAAGACAATGACAATACTCAATTTACATTATATACTAAATGATCAAACAAAAATATACTCAAATTTGCAGACCCAAAAACAAAGATCAAAACAAAAAATTATAGTATTCACTAAAAGTCGCTATGATTAAATTTTAAATCTTATATTTCTACGTACGCTTGTGAATCTTGACTTTCGCCTAACAAACAATATTAACAACAAATAGTATAATGTTAAGCACGTATATTTTTGTGTATATAGCCAATTTGCTGATATGAAATATATATATATATATATTATTGAATGATTTATTGTGGAAAAAAGAAACATATATAAAATAATGAAAAATGAGTTGACATCCAAATCTATGATCAAATAAAGAAAGTAATTAACCAATGTTTTATTATATTTCTTTTTGAAAAACCCCTCACTTCAACTGTGGAAAGATTTAGTTTCACTATTATTACTAAAATAATGAGTCACTAATGACGTGAAATATCTCATACACCTAATACGTATTGAATATCTTTCATTTTAGTAATTGTTATGTTTATGTCTCTCATTTTCAATAATAGTAATATGAAGAAGGGGAAAAAAAAATAAAAGGGAGGCCAATGACCACACGCCACGGCTAAGTGTATTCAAAGCTACCCCGAATTACTTAAAAGCCCCATGTTTTAGTTTTAATATCAGAATTGCCCCCGAATCTGACCCGTTGGAAATTACCGCAGACACACGTGAACAGAAGAATTTTTGTATTATTGTGGGGTAATTTTCGAGAACGATTCGATCAGAGTCCACCCGTGACGAGGTAAGGCTAAATTGGTAACTACACGCTCTAGACGGCTAAGTCTTGCTCTTAGTGGCATTTTTGTTGTTTTGATTAAAGAACAAGGGCGTTTCTGGAACAATATGATTCGCTTTAAAATATCCCCCAGAAACTGACAAACTTTCCAACTCGAAGTCCTCGTCCGCTAGCGACGTCAAATATATTAAACTTTTAAAAGACTACCATAAACGAAACACCTATAATACCCTTCCATAAAAGAGTGGAATATTTATAAATATTTTCTCTCCGTTTTTTTGAGTTAATTCAACTAACGATTTTTAAAAAATTATATTAAAAAAAAAAAAAAAATTGGGTTAGGTAGCGTCAATATCAAATTGTATGCATCTCCATTAATATTTTTTTTAAGAGTAAGTTGTTTATATTATGACCAGAAATTCACAATTATATTTTTTTTTGTAACTAATTAATACAAGTAGAATTTGAATATATAATTATGTGTTTGCTCACTCCTAATTTTTTTTATTTTATTTTTTTGAATTTTCTCATGATATTTTTAGCCGATAGTTGAAGATTAATCTTTTCGAGGCATAGAGATTATCGAAGTAAATTTTGCCTCTACTATGAAAGCATCTTTCATACATACGATCAGGGATCGAACCCCTGTCAACATATGCTTAAGTTGCTCACTCCTTATTTTATATATCACTAAACTAATCCTCAATTTAAGAAAGTGTACATTATGATATTGAGTGCTTTGAATATTAACTCATTTTTTAAAAGGAAATAATAGCCTCATGTTACGTAAGAGAGTTATCTTATGGCATATATTCATAGAATTTCGTGTCACTTTTTTCTTTTATTTTTACATTGTGGATCCCACGTATTTGTGTCATCCACATGAGAGTATTATCTCATATAACATGAGCTTGGTAAATTTCGTTTTTAAATGCACTGTGCTAATTTGTTCTAGAAAAATATTTATGGTACATCATTTTTTTTCTCTCACTTATTTATTGAAAAGAAAGAAAGAAAGAATCAATTAAAAACATTGTTTCAAAGATAAATATAAAATAATTAAATAAAAATTAAATTAAATTTTTTAACAAGCATAAATTGGTATTTTAATTGTTCTCTTTAATTGATGTTGTGCATAGCTAAACATTATATATGCCGAAAAACAAGAGAAGGGTGTTCTCTTAATAACAAACAAAGCTAGGGGTATATGTATAGCTAGAAACAACAGTGCCTCAAAGAAATATAATGTGTATTTTTTTATTTTATTTTTGGTACAGATATAATGTATATTTTATTACAATGCAAATCCAAAGCATGGTTCTTGTATTCTTGTGCTAGCAAGCACCCTCGTCTCCACACCATAAAAGGAGGAGAGTTTCCTGGTTTTTGTCTTCCTCTAGTTGCACAAATCCCATCTTTTCTGTTTCAATTACCTCTCCTTTTTTTCCATAGTTTTTCTGCAGCAAATCTTGTGGTAGCTAGAGAGCAACTGCAACAACAAGATTGAAACAAACACTAGTTTTGAAATTAAGAGAAAAGGGAATATTTTCAATAGATTCTTCCCTTTTCTTTCTCTAATTAACTTCAATGTCAAACATCACAAGTGGTGATAGTAGGAGCTTCTCTTCAGAGAATATCATAGAAGATGCAGTTAAACAGCAATCAGAGATGCTTGGTCAGTTCCATAGTCCACATTCTCATACTTCAACAGCAACAACAAATAATAATAGCAATGGTTCGAACACAAACTCACAACCACCTGCACCACTTAAGAAGAAAAGGAACCTACCAGGAAATCCAGGTAAATTTTCTAACAACCATCTCAATTAAGTTGACTCTTTCTGTTTTTTGTTCCCCCATTTACATATTGATTCTTAGTTTTTTTTTCTTCTTGTCTTGCTTTACACTTTCTGATTATTGGTTTTGCAAGTTTTTTTTTTTTTAGATTTAAATGGATAATCAAATTAAAGTTGGAGCCGTAGACAAATATTGTTATTCATGGCCTGCACATGGTAATTCCTAGAATATCATAGAACGAAAATTCTAGCATCTTTTATTAATTAAAAAAGTACAGTATATATTTCCTCCATCTTCTCATTGATTCTAAAAATGAAATAATGATGCACACTTTGCTTCAATATTTGCTCAAAAATGGGCTTTTATAAAAATGATATCCCACAAAAGGCCTACACATAAATTTTCTGGATATATAATTAATGGCATGCTTGATTAATTAGAGTGCATTTAATTAAGATATCTATGGGGTCCAAAGCTTGATCCGGTAGAAGGCATGAGGAAGGTCTTTGTTGAATTAATTTGTTCTTCTAAGTTGTGTTCTTTTAAGTGGAGACAAGGATCTGGGATTCTCTTAAGAGAGAATTTGATGAATTATAATTATTAGCGAGTAAGTAAGCGAAAAAGCTCAATTATTGCCTTGAAGGAGTTTACAATCATTGCAGTACGTTCACTCTTGACTTTGCTTGACTGCTAGTTCTTCTTTGTTTTTTTTTTGTTTCACAATTGTTTCAAGTGAAGGACCATATACTTTCCCATGTGAAATAATAACCTCTTCCTCACTCGCTCTTTATGTGCGTATATGTGGATGTGTCAAAAATAAACAAAATAGAGAGAGAGAGAGAGAGAAGAGGTCTTGTAACAGATAAAAAATCCAAAATGACACAATTTTGTTCCTTGTTTTTGATAAATTACATTAAGCTAAATATGCATAGTCTAATCTGTTTGGCACGCGCGTGAGTGTAGATCCAAGTGCTGAAGTGATAGCTCTATCACCAAACACACTCATGGCTACAAACAGGTTCATATGTGAAATATGTAACAAAGGGTTTCAGAGAGATCAAAACCTTCAATTGCACCGGCGAGGTCACAACTTGCCATGGAAGCTTAAACAGAGAAGCAGCACAGAAGTTAGAAAGAGGGTTTATGTTTGCCCAGAAGCCTCATGTGTCCACCACAACCCAGCAAGAGCACTAGGTGATCTTACTGGCATTAAAAAGCACTTCTGCAGAAAGCACGGCGAGAAGAAGTGGAAATGTGATAAGTGCTCAAAGAAATACGCTGTTCAATCTGACTGGAAAGCCCATTTCAAAATCTGTGGTACAAAGGAATACAAATGTGACTGTGGAACCATCTTTTCCAGGTTGATACTCATCATATATATATTTATAAAACTTCATTATTGACTTATTATACAGAGATAAAGGTTCGTGGTTCTAAAAGACACAACCTTAATCATTTTAGTGTTTAACACTATATTTTATTAGTAAAACATAATTATAATACAAAAAATTATTTTTTTTCTCTCTCCTTCCTCAATCACTTTAGCTAATATGGAGAGAGAAAAAGAGCAATTTTTTTATATTATACTAAGATATAATTTTAAAAGTTAAAATGACACAACTTATATCGTTTAACCGTACATGTACATGCAATTAACCCTTATATTTATATATATATATATATATATATGGACTTTGACTCATCAATATATTCATTCATATATATTTTCGTGCACAAGCTGCATGCACAAATAAAATGTACTTAGGTAGAGGTCTTTCTTTGACCATACACACCCATGCTGAATTATATAAAGAATTACTTTCCATATTTGAATTCATTTTCATAAACTTCTTCTAGGTTATTTTTATCTGTTATTAAATTTTCTCTCTAGCTATAGATATAATAAACATATCATATACGCGCTTCATGAATCATCAACAATAAGAAATTAGCGTCTATATACATGCATGAAGAAAATATATAGAACAAAAGTCTTTCTTGTCTGCAAGGATAGGTCACCGCATTATATAATATTTAATTATATTATTTAAATTTATTTGGCTCAGTCTAAGATACTAAAATATTAGTGTTATTATTTCATAATAATAATACCCATGCATGTTCCTCATGTGCAATCATATATCTACTTGTCAATATATATATATAAATATATGTTGCTATCCTTTTCCTTAATATCTCATAAATAACTCACTACGTGGTTAACATATTTATTTATGAACAGAAGAGATAGCTTCATTACCCACAGAGCTTTTTGTGACGCTTTGGCTGAGGAGAATAACAAAGCCAATGAAGGACAATTATCAAAGATGGGTTCAAATAACTTGCAATGCCAAACAATCCCAAACCCACAAATTGGAGGGAATTCAGAATTCAACCATTCTGATCACAAGCATCCATTATCACTACCTCACGAGCTCATGCCAATGCCTTCAAAACCCTTCAACAACAACAACAACAACATGGCTGGAACCGTATTCACAAGAAGCCTTTCATCAAGTTCATCTCCCTCTCTTCAACTGAGTTCAAATCCACTAAACATCTTTGAGGAAAACGGGATTCACTTAGCTGCAGGCTCACCACACATGTCCGCCACAGCATTGTTGCAAAAAGCTGCACAAATGAGTGCAACCGTGAGCAATAGCAGCAACATGATGGAGAAAAGTTTTGTCACAAACATGGCACCGCCATCATTTGGTGTGGTGCAACAAACACCAAATGGACATTCTTCCTTCATGAACCAGTACATGCACAATGGTCAACAGGATATTTCTCATCAGTATAATTTCAATGCAAATGGGATTATTGGTGGTGGTGGTGGCAGCATTGGAATGAATGGTGTGGATATGTTTCATGCTATATTGGATCAAAGTAAAGCTTTGTCGAAGATCATAGAGCAGAACAACCGAAGCAATAGTGGAGGTCCAACAAATGGTGGGTCAAGTAGTGCTATTAATAACATTATTGGTGGAAGTAAAGGAAATGGGGATGTAATGACTCTGGACTTGTTGGGGATAGGAGGAGGAGGAGGAGGTGGTGGTGGTAATGGTGCACATGGAAATTTCTATGGCGGTACCCAACAAGAAGAAACTGGTGCACGAGATGAGGTTTGGAGAAATTGGTCCACCAAAAATGCAGGCTTTGAATCATTTTCTGCAACAAGCAGCATTTGAAAAGACCACCCGGGAAAGGGAAGAAAAGAAATAATATTCAAGTTTTTTTTAGTGGGAGGAATTTTCAGTTGAATTTGGTCATTATGTGTTTTTTTTTATTTTATTTATTTAACCAATCCCGCCCCCCTTCGGTCATATATAGTATAGAAATCATGGAAGAAACCGAAAGTGTCGTTCTAAAGAGGAAGACACATTAGTCATTGATATTGGTCCATTTTTACCGTGACAGTGTAGTCTCCTTTGGTCTCATAAATTTGTATTCAAATGTTAGAAAATGGCAAATCGTTGAAAATTCCGATTCAATATATATATATATATATATAGTGTATAGAGTCAAAATATTGTAAAATGAATGCACAAATTAAAATGACGTGGAATGGCTCTTGATTTCCCGAAGGAATGAGAACCACAAAACGCAGATAAGAGCTATCCCATTCCCATTGCAAAAAGAGTCACAAACATGGACTACCAATCAGAATCTACCACTTCATAACTTTTTCTTGGACTAGCATTGCATTATTTCATGTGATAGGAAGAGGGGTGCTTAAAAAGGTTCCAATAAATAACTTTTTTTTTTAGTATTTCTACTAATCGGTTCATCTTGTAAGACTAATTCGGCCGGGGGCTGAGAGCAACAAGGGTACTCCCCCTCCTAACAGATGCGTTTCCTGGGTGTAGAACTTGAATCCTCCATAACTAGCTACCAAATGAATTAACGAGGTCAGGTCACACAAAGTAAGGTACATATAGATAGTATAGCGCAAATTAAGCTTTGCATTGGACAATTGACAAAAGTGCCCTCTTATTTAGAGTAATTTGGATTTTGGACATAAGAGTAAGTGAATGGGGATGGCAGTGCAAGCCAGGTTTGGGGCATGGAACCCAATTCGCATAGTACAACGTTGGGGCGATCGAGAAGACAGTTTCAAATTGAAAGAGGCGGGGCGGTCTCCGGCGGAGGAATTTGCACCATTAGCCACGAAATTTCAGCGGCGGCTTCTTGTGGGCGTTGGGTCAGCTTCACTTGTAGCCGTGGGTGCAAATTTTGGTGGCATCACCAGTTTTCTTCTTGGTTTGTCACCAAACAATGGCCGTAATCTGAAGCTGGACCTGCTTTATCCCATTGGCGGCTTCAAACGTTGCTTTGACACAAGGGAAGGATTCGGTAATTCACTATCAATATTTATCACAGGGGAAGGATCTTTTACAAACTTTTATTACAAACTACATTACCGGTCATACTCTATTGAATAATGTATTAACAGTCAGACATAATACATAATGTAATTTGTAAATAAAAAATTTATAAATATAATGTATTTTTTTAGGGTATACTATTATTTTTATTATATAAATTGGATTTGGATAATCAGAATTCATATACCCAGCAAATTGGGTTGGAGATCAGACGCTGCTGTATCGAGCTGCTAAGAAAAGAGAAATGGAAAGATCATTGGATCCTCCTCCCCTCAATGTACGTACACGTTCTAACATCAGTGAACCGGTTGTTGCATTCGGTCCCCCTGGTTCAAGTGGCGAACTCAATGTTAGTGTTATTGTCTCTTCTGTTGCTCAAGGCTTCTCGTAAGTATGATTATTAACTAGTAAAAGTAGTAAATGTCAGACATGTCACTTCACTTTATCAGCATCCAAATGCCCGACTAAAAGAATTATATATAATTTTTACTTTATTCCTTTATAGTGGAAAGTGTAGGGTCTACATCGCATAAAAAAAGCAAATGAAATATTATATATAGTTTAAAAATCATATATCTTATTTGATATATTCTTTTTCATAATATTCTAATGATTAAAAAGGGAAGATTGACAGCTAACAGCTTGTATTTCGAACTTTGTTTCACAAGGATTGAAGCATTTGGAGGGCCGGAGGAGGTGGGTGAAGCTGTGGTTCGGACCATAACAGGATCAGGGCAGCGCCCTGACGTGAAGGGTACATTGATAAAGTCAAGTTTGAGACAGGATTCTGTTAGAAATGTCACATACTATGAACTGGAGTTCAGAGTTGAAAGTCCTTCGTTTCGGCGACACAACGTTTCCGTCTGCTGCGCTCGTGGTGGTAGGCTTTTTACGTTAAATGCTCAGGCACCTGAATCAGCTTGGCCAGTATTGAAGTCAGATTTCTATAAAATTGCTGATTCATTCAGCCTCACAACTTAGTGATTCAAAATGAAGCTTCAATGGTTGAGACGAGGCCAGAAGCAAATACTTAAAAACTCTTCCCCTAGCTTGTGCTTCTAACTCCTTTCTCTTGTTTCTAAAGCTATGTTTTTGAATTGCATGGCTACAGAGGCTGTCCCCTAAACTGAAACAGTTTTTGTGTGTGATATGGGGTGCCTCATGTCTGTTGACAATTCTAAATCCAAGCATTTCTGAATTTAACCAGCACGGGCAAGCAGATACAAGTTTGTAACTTTATACATATTACATGTTTCTTTTCCATTTATTGAAATAGAATACATATTTGCAGTCTCTCATCATATGATTCTCTAAGGTCTAACTATTATACATTCAATCATTACCTAGGTATTTGATCAACTACACTGAAATTTACCAACCCATGAAATATTTCTCAAATACAACAACTGTACATAACCCCTTTCCTGTTTCGATGACCAAACTCATGTGGGAGTTCAAGCACAAGTAATCTGCCTCCGCTTAACCATCTTCTCATAATTCTCAGAAACCATTGCAGTCAAATTAGGGTCTCCATATCCGATCTCTGCTCCAAGTCTGGCAAAAACACAGTTAAGCCATTTCACTATTGTAAGTATCAGTTACGAGAAAGAGATGTTGGGACAATTAATTTTCACAAAGAATCAACCAATAAGGAAACAAACATAGCATTTCTGTCTAAGGTTGACCATGCAGGGGACCTAACAGGACAACTGAACAAATCCACAACCTTGTAGGACAAGACTTAAAGCCACAGGATAAGGACAATAGGACATCAGTCAAGCAAATGAATTTATTTTCCATTTAATAAACGGGATAAGGATGTTCTGAGAGGAAAAAAATAGAGAAAGAGGGGGGGAGGGGGGGGGGAGAGAGAGAGAGAGAGAGAGAGAGAGAGAGAGAGAAAACTAATGAAATAACTGAGACAAGTGTGAATTTTGCATACTTCGGGTCAAGTACAAGTTTCTGAACTTCTTTGATGGCTGAACTTGCCGCATACAGAGATATCTTCCCAACCTGCATCGATGACCAAGAAGTTCAGGACCAACACCAAAGGGTCAACACAAAAACTGAATGAATCACAGGCCTTTTGAAAAGAGATAACAAGGATAGGCAAGTAGCAACGAACAAAAAGGAAACTTAATAACTAAATGTAACTCTTTTCTCCTCTGACCTCCAATACTTGAAGCTTTGCTTCATGTTCATTAGGTAGACGGCGGACTTCCTCTGCTAATCTCACAGCCTCCCCCAAACTTTCCGGAGATAAGAAATCAAAGCCCAACTGAACAGTGGACTGAAATTTTCATAATGCAGAGATGATCACATGCCAAGACAAATTCAATTATTCAACAAGGAAGAACCCATATTGTTTCCATTAAAAAAAAGGATTTACACTTAAATTCATCAAATTAAATCAACATCAACATCAACAACACCTTTATCCCAAACTAATTGGAGTCGGTGGTAGATGAACTCAAATGAAAGGTACGAAGGGATAAAAATAAATAAAATAATAATAGTATATATAAAAATAAAAGGGGTGTAAAAAATAAATAAAATAAAATAAATAAATATTCTATGATAATTGTAACAACTCGGTTGTAGATTATCTAGGCTAATCTATTACAAAATATGATTAAAACCAAAGTAATTTAATATTTTAGGCCAAAAAGAACTGTAATATAAATTTTTTAAAGAAGCTCATAAAAACATTTTTAATAGTTTCCTAAAAAGTTGGCTCCCTTTAGTTAAGAGGGTTCAGACCTTTCAGAAAATTTAGAATAAATTTAATAGGAATACACACATTATGTGGGTGTACACTAGGTGAGGTCACAGGGGATTGGGTCCCAAAGTGCTGATCATGCATGACACGTTAGTGGGAGAAGTGGTCACTAACAGATTCAGAGAGAGAGGAATAGATTGGGGACTATGGGGTAGGCTATTTGTTAGCAAGGATTTGGGAACTCGAGAGTCCTGTGATCACCCTTATGGCCTCTCATTTTGTACACCCACATAACGCGTGTATTCCTATCAAAATTACATTGACCTCCCTGAGGTTTATATCACATTTAACTTCCCTCTTGTTAGTGTAAGGCAGGTTGGTGTAATTTCAAAATCCAGAGGGTGCGTATAATATAGAAAAATCTTAAGAAGGTCAGTGTAATTACTCTAAGAAATATTCGACCACCTGACAAGCCAAAGCCTTAAACTGCCACCTAAATACACAGCAATGTAATAGAAGTTCAAGCTCTTAACATGCAATTGTAAAGTTCTTCCAACCGATGGGTGAGGTAACATTAATTTTGAGAAGGAGGACATCCACCCAAAAAATAAATATTGAAATTACAAATGGACTTATATTCAATATGTTTGATATATTATTAACAGAAAACTATGGAAAACTCAACTATCATTCTATCAATTGGTTTTCTAATAAGCTCAATCAGAGATGTGCAAATTAACTGACATTCATGAATGGGAATGCATGTGTCTTCCCAGTAGCATAAAATTACAATGCAAAAACTGTTTCCTATATAATTTAAATTGCACGAGTTATGCTAGTATCAGCTCTAGAATATCACCTCAGTCATTCAGTTGCTAGATTAAATATTTCATAAAAACTAAAGAGATAATATTAATAACTGTAGGCTCTTAAGCAGATGAAAATTTTGCCCTTTGTATGGGATTCAAGTAACAGATATAAAAATATGAAGCTCATGAATCAAAATATATCAAGTGAACTCACAACGAAAATGAACTCACCTGAACATTCCTTGCTTGGAAAGGGCACCCAGCAGGAACAAATACAGCTTCCCCAAAATTCTGTTCAAATGACCATGGCTCCACTCCTATTTAGGAAGATATTAATCACATTAAAAAGGAAGAAGATAAATAAAATCAAGTATTTTCAGAAATTTCTGGGCTACCCACAATTTAGCATATTAGTACTAAGTTTTCCATTATAAACAGTACCCACGTGAACATCACTCACAGATCACTTCAATTAGGGCTCATACAAGTGCTCTCTATCGTTTTTCTTTTTTCCAGCAAATTTATTTCCATTACTCACCTCCCCTTTATAAATTCTTAAAACTCCCAAACAAGGGGAATTATTCTGTTCCCTTTCCATCTCTCTCATAACCAGTCATCAAGAAGACACTCAAAGGGAGCCACCAAAGGCAAGGCCTTATAGAGTTCCACCTTTATCAACCAAACCCACCACTTTTCTATCTAGGTCTTAACGATGCATAAAAAGAAAACATAGAATCTCACCAAATTCTTCCTTCAACTTTCTTTTATGGTGTCTGTCAAGAAAAATATCTCCATCATAAAGAGGCCATGTTACCTTGAATCCAGAGAGTACCATCAGCAACAAAAAATCAAAACAAGTCAATTAACCGAAAAAAAAAGGGGAACAAATGTAAGTTTATTTTCAGTTTTTATTTTTCTTTAAAAATAAAACTTACAAATTCATTTACTATGTCTTGCTTCCCAAATTCCTTCCGATGCATTTTCAAATATTCAGTCACCTTGGGAACATCCTGCCGACGAAAGACATCCCAAAGAACTCCAGGACGTGTTTTCTCAGAGGCATCTCCATTTTGTCTGAATGGAAGGTCGCCATCGACCCTATTCCCTTCAGCGCTAGAATAAATTTCAAATCCTTGATCCATAATTGGCTTATTCTGGTTTGAATCCAAGTTCAGTCCATTATTTTTTGTTTTAAGCAAGGAATCAGGTGAACTCCCCCTCAAACATATTTGTGGATCCCCACACGATTCTTTCGCCTCAGATTCCTTATAAGCTTTTTGTAGCATTTCAATTTTAGTTTTCTGCCAGTCCTTCAACTTCACTTCACTAGTATGGACCAAAAGGTAGACCTGTTGAAACTCAGTAAATTTATTATTTGTTACTTTATTCATAGCCCACTTTTTTTCTTTTCTTTCTTCAAATAAATCAATATTTCATTATTTCACTCTTGACAAGATGACAAGAAAAAGAGAGACACAGAAACTCAAATTATTAAACACCAATGCACAGTAGTTTGGGTATTTGAATTCAAACAGCACATTATAAATTGTCACTAAGCAATTATTATCGACAACTTGCAAATATTTAGTTACAAATATCAACAACCTCCATGTATTCATATGAGAAGTTAGACCAAGATAAATACATAAGCAAACATAAATTAACAACGAAGCATCCAATTTATATTCTTAAGACACTTGAAATTTCAACCAAAATTATAAAGAAGTTGCAGTCTGTCTAGGAATCCAGATTATCATAAAACTATTGAAAAATAATAACTTGTATCGACTCAAACTCAAAAACTATAAAAGACGAAAATGACCATTTCTCATCTATTGGGTTAAGTTAATGAGGATAAAGTAATATACCATGTCACGCATATTGAAATGGAGATTTGTCACTGAATCACCTCTACCAAGTTCATCACTAATCCCATAAGATATATAAATCTTGGGTCCTACATCATTCTGCAAGGAGTAATGAGGCAATTTAGCCGCAACATTAAGAAGGCCCCACTTGGAGTGAATATACTGAAGTAAAGGCAGTTTGCTGATAAATTCAGGTCTTTGGAACAATAGAAATTCTTCAGATGCACTAGGTGAAGGCCAGTCCTTCAACTTCAATATTTGTGGCCAACCATTTTCATGAAAACGACCCTCAGAGTATCCTTTCATGAACTGACCAAGCTCAATATCAATCTGTCAATATAAAAATAATAAATGCAGTGATAAGGTAGAGTAACTTAACAAAAATGATTAACCAAAAAACACAGTGCAATAAAAAAACCAATACAATCTCAATCACCAAAAAGAGAAGAGCTATAGATATGTGTGTACCTCAGACCAATCAAAACAATCTATGGCCTTAACTATTCTGTTTTCGTCTTTCATTTTCTCATCTGTTGTCTCTTGAATCCCTCTCCATATGACCATTGGATCCCAACATGAAATGGATGACCTATCAAATACTTGCTTGACAATAATGGGCTCACCAGTTTTCCAGTGCTTTCTAAAATTGATAATCCCATCAGTTTTGAGATCCTCAGATGCAGGACAATAAAGATAATTATCATTACTAGCGTCTCTTTGAGAATATTGGCAAAGTCTGATACCATTCAACCCAGTTTCTGGTGGACCATCTCCATTACTAATTCTGCAGCCACTAACCATTTCCTCTACATTTTTCACCAACTTTGCAACCCAATTCATCTTGAAAATCCGGCTTAGATTTAATGATGAACAACCACAGCCACCATACTCCTTTGGGGGGCATGGAATACTTCCATTGTCATTGGATCTCCAATGAGGAAACTTGCTTAATATGTTTTGATCAGAAGATTTTACTTGCTCTGTTTGGGGTTCTTTATTGTGATCTACAGTTGCTTCTCGAAGATCCCGACAACAATTAAGACACAAATCATATGAGCAACTTGGACAGCGTCGATGATAATCAGTAATAGGTATCCTACATAAATTGCTGCAAGAAAACAAATCAAAAAAGAAAATGAGCCTCACACTATCTCTGAATAATGAACACGCACATGATGCTTCTGCACCAGTTAAAACCATCAACTCTGAGAGAAGTGTTATGGATGTACCAGCACATCAAATCATCTGCATTCAATTTTGTCCTGGGAAGATCTATTTCAGCACCTGAGGGAGAAACCATTATTTCAACATTGTCAAGTACTTGTTCACCAGAAAAAGAAAATAAAATATAGTCACATATGATACTACTAGCGGTGCAAGGCTGCAAGCAAACCCAAAGAAACCTTAAAATGCATCTTACCACGCAACTTCTTTTCAAGTTCAACTTCAAAACACTGTTCACGATGGATCTGCTTTACTACAGGAAGCACTGATGACAGCAGCAAGTGGAGATACTGTAACTTATCTAGAACAGGTATCTCACGTATCCGAACCTTAATCTCAACAAAAGCAGAAATTTTACTAACTGGAAAAAGCAATCGCAGATGCTAAACTTTGAAGGCATGCTTCATCAAATGGTAAATATTAAAATACCTTTATTGAATTATCACTACGTAAGCAAATTTTGCAATTACATATGCCACGGCATGCAGGACATATCCTCTGAATTTCATCCAATGAAATGTCCGAGTACCTAGAAGTAAGTAAAGTAAACCATAACAATCAGTCACCATCCAAAAAAGAAATAATTTAACTGAAACAGGGTATCTTCACTAAAATTTCATGCTCACCATGTTGATATACAGCTATCACAGTATCCTCTTCTATCACACCGGAGGCACCAAGTAACTTGGTCTCTGTCATTCCTCTGGCATTGATGGCAAGTTTGCCCACCAGTGTCTTCAGAACAACCGGAGGTTTCATCAGAATATTCCTGTCAATGCAATGTAACCTTTCAATTCAGCATATACAAAAACCTTCCATCAAAATCAGTTTGCATATAAAACTCACATTTGTAGCATTAGCATCGAAGCTCCTCTGCGATATTTTCCTGGAGGAATCGACCCCAGAAGCCGGGGGCGAATCATAGGACACCCAATTACTCTCTTCATACATAGGGACATCCACATCCTCATCCTCATCCTCATCCTCCTCAACCTCATCCTCATCCTCATCTTCATCCTCATCTTCATCTTCATCTTCATCTTCATCCTCATCTGGCGAATCATCATTTGGCTTGGGAGCACGGCGGGCGGAGGAAGCCCTTTTAGTGTCAGGCTCGGGGGTATAACGAAACTGGTTCTTGGAAACCCTACTCAATAACTTCTTCCCAGAGTGGTTGTTGTGGCTGTTGTTGATGGTGGTGGAAAGTGGCACATCGAAATCGTCACTCTTGCTCTCCAAATAAATATCAGACTCTCCCAGTGACAGTGACTTCCTCTTTGCTTTCTTTAGGTTAGCCCTCATTGCAGAATTCGCAGCTCTCTTCTTAGCCTGAATGTAGTGCTTCTCGCACACCGTCTTGTCAGGCATCGACATCGCCGTGCATCTCCATTGTTTCCCATCGGATCTCTTGCACCGCAAATCATCTGGAATCCCTCCATTTTCCTCACCGTTATTCCCTGAGGTCGATCTTGTGTGATCCATTCTCTTTTCCTTCGACCAATCATCTATGTCTTGTGAATTGCGTCCATACCCTATGCCCTATACCCTAACCTAAATACTATCACCATTTACCAAGCACGAAGCTACGAAAAAACCCTATTATAGTACAAGAAGAACACGATGCACGAAAGGAATTTCGAGTTGTTGTGATGAGTTGAATGTACCTGTTAGAGTGTAATCTTTCAGATTTTGATTTGCAATATGCGGCGTCGTTTAGTGTTCCAATCCAGAAACTTGGGTGTGATAATAAAGCTTACAGTGAACGAAGTCCAGAGAGAGAGAGAGAGAGAGAGAGAGAGGATCTTCACTGTTCATGCGCCTGCAATATTAGTGGCTTACAGTGTGTTTGGATTTTGGAATGTTAAGAAATGATAAATGATTTTATTATTATAATATCATGATAAATTTTAAGCGATTAATGTTTCTGTTTTTTTTTTTTTTTGAAAAGCAAAAAAAAAAAAAAAAAAAAAAATGGTTAATATATTGTCTGTTTTTAACAATATAAATCTTAATCGTTAATTTTTGTGAATCAATAATAATTATTTTTATAAATTAAATTTATTAATTAATTATTAATTTACAATAAATGATAATCGTTAAGTAACAAAAATTAACGATTACGATATGATAGTAACATTAGTAATAAAGAATATTTGGTGTAAGACTTATTATTCGTACACAGGTGTGAGATTAAGATAATATTGCCCTTATATATATATATATATATATATATAGGGCTTATCGTTTCTCAAGCTGTTTGAAATAACTTTATCTGCGACTACTAAATCATAACCGTACAAAGATGGATCAATGGTGGTAAAGGAAGAGAGAAAGAAAGAGAATCATAATCATTCTAAGATGAATCAATTAATATAAGAAAATAAATAAACAAAACAACATAGTTTTAGGATGGACGGAGATAAATATATCTCAAGCTGCTTGAGAAATATTTTTCACACACACACATATATATATATATATATATATATATATATATATATTATTTCTCTCAAAATAAAAAAACATTTCAAACATAGCAACTAATTAGTGGGCGCATGCGCATCAACAATCAAAACTTGAATTCTTTTGGAACAGTGACCAAAGTGTCACTGTTTGGCAATTTTTTTTACCCAAATGCCATGCAAACAGTATTTTTTACCAGACTGTCACGCGACGTAATTCGCTATGACTGGTAGCGAACTTTGTCACCAATAATTTTGTGATACGTGGCCACATTGCGTACCAAATTCGTTACCACTAGTAGCGAACTTCGTCCAGTTAGTTTTTTTTTTTTTTTGAAAATGTGTCACGTGTCACAAAATTATTGGCGAACGTAATTCGCTACCAGTCGTATCAAATTACATCGCGTGGTAGTCTAGTAAAAAATACTATTCACGTGACATTTGGTAAAAAATTTGTCAAAGAATGACACTTTAGTCGATGTTCCAATTCTTTTGACAAATGCAAATGATGCTAACCTGAAGGCCATGGTTGGCTGTAAGTTTCACACGCGTAAAATCCTATATGGATTTTTTTTATAATTGAAATCTCATGAGTAAGTATGTGTTATATACAACTCAAAAAGAAAAAGGGGTAGTTCCAAAAAAGTTAATAGTATTTGTTGATTGATGTACACAGAACAAGAGAAAAAGATTTGCAAAAAAAGAGACTTCCGTGATGCGCCTATGGTTACTATTTTACTGAACCTCTAGTCGCGTGTTGCATGTGGTGTAGTAGTATATGTGCTTGATCTTATAGCACAAGGGTAGAAAACAGAACCTCCACTAGGGCTTTACGTCAATGGCTTGCACCATCCCTCCACAGTAAGGACATGCTTCGGGTGCTGGTTGCCTCGCAGACAACTTTTCATCCTCGTCGCACACAAACACCAAACACATCTCTTACTATAGAAAATTAAGAGGATTTGAATATGTTGTTATATTTAATGAAATGGCTGATAGCTAATATATACACAAGTCGGTTATACAGAATCAAGGAGGATCAACTAGAATAAAGTATACTGTTCAACAAACTATACATGGAATAATAACAAACTATTCTTGCTAAAAACTAGGACTTAGTTGCTAAAGGATAAGATCAAAGGTGATCTTCTCCTAACACGCCCCCTCAAGTTGGAGCATGAAGTGACGAAATGTCCAACTTGCTGTGAAGAAAACTGAATTGCTTCATGCCAAGCGGTTTGGTAAATATGTCTGCGAGTTGCTGATCTGTACGAACGTAGGTAGTAGTGATTGTATTGCTGAGAACATGATCGCGTACAAAATGACAATCAATCTCTATATGTTTGGTACGTTCGTGGAAAACTGGATTAGCAGCTATTTGCATGGCAGATTGGTTATCACAGTGCAACTGCATAGGGTGTGAATGTGGAACATCAAGCGAGTCCAGAAACGATTTGATCCATAACAACTCAGCTGTAGCTGCTGCCATTGAACGATACTCAGCTTTAGCGAAGGAGCGAGACACTGTGGGTTGCTTCTTTGTTTTCCAAGAGATAGGAGAAGTACCCAACATGATAAAATAACCAGTAACTGATCGACGGGTGAGTGGACAGCTAGCCCAATCCGAATCAGAATATCCACGAAGAAGGAGATCATTGTCGGATCGAAGGAGTAAACCTTGGCCAGGATCAGTTTTGATGTACCTTAAAACGCGGATGACAGCATCATATTGAGCAATAGTAGGATTTTGCATGAACTGGGAAAGAACATGGACGGAGTAACTTAACTCAGGTCTAGTAATTGTCAAGTAAACCAAACGTCCTATGAGTCTTCTGTAACGTGCGGGATCCGAGAATGGAGGACTTTCTGTAACTGCAAGCTTATGATTTGTTTCGAGAGGGAAGGCACATGGTTTGCACGCAAGGAGACCAGCGTCTTCCAATATGTCGAGAGCGTACTTTCGTTGGCTCAGAAAAAGACCTGATGGACCGTGAGCTATTTCGATGCCAAGAAAATATTTAAGAATCCCCAAATCCTTGATGTGAAAGCATGACTGGAGAAAGACCTTGACATCGGTGCATAAGGCATCATTGTCGCCCGTTAGAATAATGTCATCAACGTAGATGAGAAGAGCAACAAAGTGGCCATCTTTGTGTAAGGTGAATATGGTGTAATCTGCCTTGGATTGGATGAAGCCATATGATTCAATGGAAGACCGCAACTTAGCAAACCAATTGCGAGGGGACTGCCGCAAACCGTAGAGAGATTTACGTAAGCGACATACTTGATGTGGTTTGTGATGATTGAAACCTTGTGGAACGCGCATGTAAACTTCTTCGGTAAGGTCTCCGTGTAGAAAGGCATTCGTAACATCCAACTGGTATAGGTGCCATGATTTGGCAGCAGCTACCGCAAGAAGTGTTTGGACACTCACCATTTTGGCTACAGGAGCATATGTATCGAAGTATTCTTCTCCAGCTATTTGATTGTTACCGGCAATGACCAACCGTGCTTTGAATCTCTCCACTGTACCATTTGAGTTGTACTTAATGCGGTATACCCCCTTGCATGGAATGGCACGTTTTCCTGGTGGCAAAGAAGTGAGTTCCCACGTGTGATTTTGTTCAAGGGCATCTATTTCTTTTCGCATTGCTACACGCCACCTTTCATCAGTTACAGCATCCTTGAATGTTTTTGGTTCAACACCAGAAGAAATGGCAGCAAGGAATTGTTGATGTTTGGGAGAGAATCTAGAACAAGAAACAAAGTTAGCAATAGGATAAGCCATACCTGAGGAAGGACTGGAAGAAGTAGAAGAAGCTAGTGGATTATGTGCGATGACTTTGGAGCATTCGAAATCTTGGAGATATGATGGAGGACGGCGAGAACGGTGACCACGTCCCAAAGGTGCGGATGGATGTGTGACTTCTGGGGGTTGTTCTTGTCGGATAGAAAGCTCATTGGAGACAGTAGGGGCAGATTCGGGCTGAGCCTGTTCAACAGGGAGAGTGTCTTCAATTAAAGGGACAGGGTTGGTAACAACTTGGGAATCAAAGGATGGGCTTTGTGGAGCAAGGGTTGGTTCGGGTGATATGGGGTTATGGGGGTTTGGGTCGTGAGGAATATCAGTGGTAGGAATGACTGTGGTTGGTGCAAAAGGAAAGGTGTTCTCTTCAAATACCACGTCTTTGGATACAAAAACAGTACGTGTTTCAAGGTTATAAAGCCTCCAACCCTTTTTGCCAAAAGGATATCCCAGGAACAGACACCGAGTTGATCGAGCTGCAAACTTGTCCAACGGTTTGGGACGTGGATGAGCATGGCAAAGACATCCGAATATGCGAATATGATCATAGATGGGTGTGCGGTTGAAAAGACATTCATATGGTGTTTTTCCTTGGAGAAGAGGAGTGGGGGTTCTATTGATTAAATGTACCGCAGTTAGAACACATTCACCCCAAAACTCGATAGGAAGACTAGCTTGAAAGCGTAATGCTCTTGCAACATTCAAAATATGTCTATGTTTCCGTTCAACACGACCATTCTGCTGTGGTGTGTCTACACATGATGTTTGATGTATAATTCCCATATCGGAATAAACCTTGCGGAGATTATGAGCACAAAATTCTGATCCATTGTCGGAGCGTATTATTTTGACCATGGTATTAAACTGATTACGTACCATGAGAAGAAATCGAGTTAAGTATTGGAACGTTTCAGACTTGGTGGTCATTAAATAAACCCAGACGTTTCTGCTATAATCATCCACAATTGTTAAAAAATATCTTGCACCGGTTAGAGATGTAGTTTGATATGGACCCCAGATATCGCAGTGAATAAGATCAAAGCATGCAGTAGTTTTATTAATGCTAATAGGGAATACAGTACGAGTTTGTTGTGCGCGTAGGCAAATGTCACAAACTGAAGGAGAATGACCCCTATTTTTATTCACTGTAACAAAAGGAAGAAAACATAAAAACTGAAATGAAGGGTGACCCAATCGACGGTGCCAAACATCTGCATTCTGTTGAGTGTGAGCCGCACATGCAGTAGAGATGGATTTGTTGTTGGATGAGTCATGCACATAAACACCAGCTTGCAATCTACCCAGTCCAGTCTTGATCCTCGTTATGGGGTCCTGCAATTCACAGCCATTGTGAGTAAAAGAAATGATGCAATTTGTATCAGCAAGTAATTGAGCAACTGATATGAGGTTGCATTGTAATTTGGGAACATATAACACATTCTGAAGAGAAATATGAGATGTCAACTTGAGACTGCCACTGTGATTGGAAACAAGATGATCACCATCAGGTAAACCTATTGTAGTGGGTGGAATAGATGTAACATTGGAGATTAAATGGAGGTTCCCTGTCATGTGTTGAGAAGCGCCACTATCCACCAACCAGGTAGAAGGCAGAGTGTGCTTACCAGAAAGGGATGTAGTGTTAGCAGACGGTGTAGTGGAGGAAACAACCATGTTGGCAATTTGCTGTAGAAGCTCAGGACTCAGGTTGGGAATCGAGTTTTGGTTGGACACTATAGGTGTTGCAGCTGCTGTTTGTGATGCAGAAAAATTGAATGGGTTGGGACGCTTGTCATTAGCATTGATATTGACAGCGGAAGAATCTGAATCAGAATCAGCCATTGGGAAAGTGGATCGATACCTTCAAACTGATACCATATAGAAAACTAAGAGGATTTGAATATGTTGTTATATTTAATGAAATGGCTGATAGCCAATATATACACAAGTCGGTTATACAGAATCAAGGAGGATCAACTAGAATAAAGTATACTGTTCAACAAACTATACATGGAATAATAACAAACTATTCTTGCTAAAAACTAGGACTTAGTTGCTAAAGGATAAGATCAAAGGTGATCTTCTCCTAACACTTACAAACACCAGCATCTCATGCTTATTTCTTCCAAGGACTTTTCACAGCACAATATCTTATCAGTCACATTTTTTTTTTGTCCAGCAAGTTGTCTCCGACTTCAGCGTCAAAATTAATTCAAAAAGATTGTTCTTGTATCAGTATACTATATTAATAATATAGAATATAGAAATAATATAAACAATTCACCAATAAAGTACAAAACAATAAACATGGAAGATCAACAAACATGAAGTAGAAAACTATAAACGCACACATAATGAGTAAGATTATGCAGAAGAACAACTTAAGAAGATGAAGAAGATAAACAGACAAGAAAAGATAAAATATGCACACATAAGTTGATTATCAATGAAAAATATGTGCAGTAATATATATTCTATTTATACACGAACTAAGGAGGTTTTTTAAACTCATTTTTTGCATTAAAAATTATTTTTTAATTTTAAGTTTCTAACAAAATAATCTTTGGTTCGTTTGTAGACCCAAAAAATTAATTAATCCTAATAAACATAATAATAAATATTATTAATAGACTTAAAAATTCTCAAATAGTGAGAGAATGGAAGAATACATGCATAGAGCACCAAAGAATGTTGAACTCTTTTTTCACCTATCAAATTTAAAATTTGAATTTGAAAAGTTACTAAAAGAGAAAAACATTGAAAAGTGAGAACAAAAAGTGGATATTGAAAGAAAAGAGACATATCAGCAAACTTTTCAAAGAGTGATTTTACTTTTTATATATTAATGGCTTAGGTGTGTTTGGATTTTGGAATGTTAGGAAATGACAAATGAATTTATTATTATAATTTTATGATAAATTTTAAAGAATTAATGTTTGTCATTTTAAAAAATATATAATTGGGTCATTTTAGTCAAAATTATTTTATTTTACGATGAGAGATATAGTTACACAACAGAAATTTTAGTTGGAGAAAATGAGAGATTTTTTTATATTTAAATATTAAATAAATTAATAATTTTAACTAAAATAATGGTAAATACTTTTTTCAATTTTTAATGATTTTGTATTTGAAAATTTATGACAACTTTATCAGTTAAGTTGGCCAAGGTTGTGTCTTGTTCGGAGTTATTCTTGATGGATCATCTGTAAGCATTTCATAAAAGTTAGTTTAGCTTGTAGGTTTTTCGTAATACCCTAAATCTTTGTTTACTGAAAAAATTAAAATTCTTATTAAATATAGTTGGATTTATTTTATTTTATTTTAAATTGATACATTATTTTTTAAAAGTTCTTTAAAGTAAGGTTATTTTTTTAATGTCAGTAATAAACAAATGTATATTCATCATTAAATGACGATATATTTTAAACTAAATTAATAATATTTATCTTTAAATCAAAATATATTCTAAATTAAACTAATAACAAATATATTCTTACTAACTTACTTAAAAAAATAAGATTGTTTTAAAAGTGTGGCCTTTTTTTAGTAGGCAAAGAGAAGGCTTTGTAATAATGAATTGATTTTATTTTAAATAAATAGACTATTTTACAAATAAAATAAAATAATAAAGTGATTATTTTGAAAATATAGTAAGTAAGGACACACATTCAATGTAAGATTACAGTTTATTCAAATTAAATTGATAATAAATATATTATTACTTACTTTAAAGACAAACTTTATACGAGTCTTATCGGATTATTTTCTACTTTTATTAGTTTTTTTTTTATGTTACCTCTCATTATAATTAATCTAACTTAAAATAAAAGAGATAATATTGTATATTACCTTTCTTACATCATTTACTTTTTAGATAATAAAATAGGAAAAATACACTTCTTTTAAATAGCCCCAAAAAAATCCTCATTCAATTTTTGTCCGAAAGAAGTAGATGTAAGAAATCGACTGCAATAATAACTTCCGAATCATATTATAAGGATATAAATGTAAAATAATAAAAGAAAATCTATTTATCGAGTTTCAAGCCGTTGAACTGTTTATAAAAATCAATTCAAATTATGGGAAAATTGTTTGTCATTTTAAATGACAGAAAGTTATATCATTTTAAGAGAGATATAGACATAAAAAATTTAAATTTTAAATTAAAAAAAATCACCCACTTTCTCTCTCCCATGATTTTCGTTTTTCTGTGTCTATCTCTCGCTTAAAATGACAAACACAAGACCCTTCAAATTATTTACCAAAAAAAAAAAAACAATTAAAATTCTCTTTTTCAATGAGTCCTAAACATTTAAAAAAAAATCAGATTAAATATACAATTGTAAAATTGAAAATGAGTCAAGTCATCTCCAACTTACTCACAAGTCACAACCCAATTCATTAAAAATCTAAAAAGCTTTTTTTTTTCTTTTTTTTTCTTGTTTGTCTAATAACTTACTACGATTTTGAGTTTTTCCAGTATGGTTGTGAAATCCAAACAGTAGGCCTGTGTTTTTTGTTTTTTGAAATATAACGGGTAACCAACAGTCCAACACTAAATTTTTTACAAATAATTTAAAAAGAAATGCACTTTTTTGCAATAGTATAAAAGAAGGGTCTGATGTTTGTCATTTTAAATGACATAAGTTATGTTATTTTAAGAGAGATAAACACAAAGAATGAAATCATGGGAGAGAAAGTGGGTAGGTTTTTTTTAATTTAAATTTTAAATAAAAAAATATTTTTTGTGTCTATCTCTCTCTTAAAATGACATAACATCATTTAAAATGACAAACAATTTTTCCATAAAAGAAATGTACTTAAGGTTCTCCAACTAAAAACTCTAGTTCATAAATCTGGAGAAAAGTATGCAAATACATATTTTAAATAAACCAAAACATTATTTCGTTCTTAAATTTTAATTGAAGTTACAATTTAATTCAAAATAAGATCAACGTTAGTAATTTCTGTTAATAAAATGAATGTCTTAATAAAATAGATGGCATTGAAACAAAGAATTGTTTAAAATAAAATCAAAACGAAAAAATATGTTCAGAATTAAATTGAAACTTTAATCAAACTTTTTTTTGTTAAAAATAAGATTTTAGCCTATTTTTAAAAATATAAGATAACATGATATACAATAATAAGAAAAAGAAACAACATCCTTTCCACGTCTCGGAGTTAAAATAGATGTGATGACGCTGAAATTCTAGTTTCATAAGCAAAATGTAATCTTCTAATGATAAATACTAACTTGAGGTCGTATGCCACATGAAGGAAACAACAATTACAATGCTTCACTATTTTGATGTACAATATTCTGAACTAAATTACAACAAAATTGTGGAGCCTGTTATAAGGCTTTGTAGGAAAAAACAAATCAATCAAATAGCTTTTATCTTTTTGTGTTTATGTCTATCACTGCTACTGCTATTGCTATTGCTTGCACCAGTCTTCTTAACAACTTTGTGCGGTCTTTTTGATCCCTGGCAAAAATGTTATTCAAAAGTCATATATTACAGAATACAGAAATAACATACAAAAAAAGTAACAAACGGCATTATTCACCATTGAATTTAAATTTCGATCTGTGCAAGAATATATTGACATTTTTAACACAAATCCATATAAAATCTAACAGCTCTACACAGAAGGAACTTTTATTTTTTCCATAAACTTTTGTCTATTAAGCATTACCCTTGATTAAAACCGTCAATAAAATTTTAAAAGTAAACCTCCATAAGTCACTGAGAATTTGTTTTTTGAAATTAATATTTCTCGTGTTGTAGAATATAAGATAAATGTGTCATTGATGTTGACACACACAAAAGTATGTGGGACTCATATTTTCTTTTTCTCTCTCTTCTCTTTACATGACCCCACACAAGCCCCATATGGCCACATACTTTTATGTGTGTGTAGGAAATCAACATGAGAAACATTAATATCTTTTTTTTATTCCTTCCTTTCATTTCCTCTCCCCTTCTCTTATCCCCCTACCATTTACGATTCGGAATGGGCATAAATTAGGAAGCAGTTAAAATCCATGGGAAAAGTTAACCATACCGCAGCAGAGATGGCCTTCAGAGGGTCTCCACCTTTTCTAAATTTTCTCTTGGATCCCCTGCGGCGGTTATTATTTCCCATTGCATCTCTTGTAAGCTTGACCATTTCCCTAGCCTCTTTCGTTGTTTTGTCTAATAGGTAGTCAGGCACGTCACGTAGGTGGGAAGGAGGGGCATTCTTGCTCAAAACTTTGTCATGTTTCAACAGGTCTGCTCAAATACAATTTCAATCATTAAAATTAATTTCTTTAAACATAAAAAATGCAAAAATATATGTTAACTGTATACAGAAACAATACAACCAAACAAATTGCATTACCTAGGTCTTTTGGATTAGTTTCAAAGTGGGCCTTCAATCTAAAACAGAAAAACACAGGTGTTCAGGCATGGATTAAAAAGGGAATAAACTTTAAGATCGCAGTTATAATTCTCAAACGTGCCACATGCAATCCCAGACACTCACTTTTGAGAGTTCAAAATTTCATTTCTCAAATCCTGGGCTCGTGATTCTCGGACAGCAATTTTAGTTACACTTTTTGCAACATCCTGCAAGATAATGCCAATCATCATTATTATTTGCAAAAGCAGCTACTTACCCCAAAATATACTTAGGCATGCATTGCAAATCTGCCTAATATCAGAGAAAACAGAGAGGAAGTGCAAAATATCCTCTATAAAATTTTCATTTAAAAGAAAAACAACTGAGAAGACGTGCAAGATGTTTGTCAATATCTCAAGTTTAACTAAGACACAAATGATATGATAATCACAAAAAAGAATGTTATTCATGTTTTGGGTCACAAAGTTGAAAAATATTGATACATGTTAGATGAAATAATGTCATTTTTAAACTAGAGGATTATTGAGCAGAAGTTAATACTGAAGAAAAAGAATATACCAGGTCAGTAAGAAAAGCTTTCTTTGGTTGATGCATTAATGAAATACTATGATAGTTTTTCTTCAAGAGTAAAGGAAATAATAAATCACCTCAGCCCTATACCGTAAAGATTCAACTGCATTCTTGGTGAGAAAGGGAAACTCAGTAATTGTGTTTGAGCCCTTGTTTTCATCATCCCCAACGAAAGATGTTATTTCTTCTAAAGTATCCATCTCATCTGGAGAAACCTATGAAGACACAAAGGAATATCTAAATGACCCAGCGTTATGTAGCTTGGTGCCACCTTGGATCTTGATAGTAAACCCAATGGACCAAGACAAGGGCTAGAGAGCAAAATCTAATAAGTAATAATACATTTCGGCATTTACTTAGCGGAAAAGCAGGGCATTGTTTGTTTGGCAAACTCACCAGAGAGATAGAAGAACCAGAACTGTATGCTCTTCCTGTACGTCCAATTCGATGTATGTATCCTGCAACACTTCGAGGCATTTCAAAGTTTATAACCTGTTCATCAACAAGAGAAAGCATTAACTAAATGATTTCAGTGAACAACAATCTCTCCATAAAACAAGGATATGAATCAGAAGAAGACATTTATTACAGTATACAAGCAGAGCAACAATTTCAAACATTGCACATTAGACAAAAACACATTACAAAGAGATACAAGAGAAGATTTGTGTACCGTGTATACATCCTTAAAGTCAATTCCCCTTACTACTCCAAATTCAGAATCTAATTTTAGCTTAGCCTGTTTTCTAGACTTCCGTGATCCAACATTACTTTCCTTAGGTGCTTCATCTTTCTCTTTTGACTGGCTGACGTCCGATGCAATTAGATAATCAAACAGGCCAGCATTGAATTCCTGATGAAATCAGGTTTATCAAAATCATGTGAGAAAATATGGATCCTCACAAATAATAATAGTAAATTAGTAATTATAATAATAAAATCCATTTTTTGAAGAAAACATAAACTTCTTCTCATGCCTCACTAGCAGGAAAATGTCATAGCACTGGGATAAGCGGCTATTGTACCAAAAGAAAGAAGAAACAAAGAAAGATAGAAGGAATTGGATATTATTGCATACCTCGAGAATATGGAGACGAGAATTCTGTGGCAACTCAGCATTTAAAACAGCGGACTTGATACCAAACTAAAAGGACAGAGAGGAAAAGTGAGAGACGAAGAAATGATGACAACAGAATAATCCCACTGCAAGTATCAATGTTTAGACTAGAAAAAGAGTTGTAGAGGAAATCATTTCAAAATAAAGACACGATCTTCTTCCGGATACTTGCAGGATATTCCAAATTGATTGAAAACTTAATCCAAAACATTTTGAGCATACATATTGAAGGTAAAAAAATTCAGAGTAAATAGAATGGGTTTTTGATTATCCATTAAACTGATAGTGTGAAAATCAATGCAATTTTTTTTTTTAAATAAAATCAGATATGTGCTATCATTGATGTATGATATTATGATGTAAAATTGAAGATCAGGTAGATTTAATTTATTGAATGTATAAAAAGAACTGTGCATAATCTCAAGAACCAACTATCTCAAATGTTAGATGAAATTTCATAAATGGTTTTACATCAAACACCCCCTCATGCAAGAGTCTTTTGGGTTGAAACGTGAACAATGCATAGGCTCACCCTACCTTGTGCTAAAATTCAATTTTTATTTAGAAGAATGGAGGTGGCAAGGACCAAACTCTTGACCACTTGGTATAGAGGCTCTAATGCAATGTGATTGATCAACTATCCCAAAAGTTTAAGCTAGTTAGGTGAAGGTTCATGAATGATTTTATATCTATCTAACACATACCTTCTCCAAGAATAGTTTCAACCTGAAACTCATGTCTATGGTGTTAGTGAATATCAGAACTTTCTTTTGGACCAACTCCAACTTCAACACAGCAAGGATGTAGAGTAACTTATCATTGGCAGTACATGAGATCTGACACAAAATATTCAACGAAAACAGTTTAAGGCTATCAACACCACAGAAATTATGTTAAATCAGAAATCAACAGACATAGATGAAAGAAGTATATAAATTTTTTTTTGAAACAAAACAGTTCTTGTAATCTATTACGCAAAATGATTGCTTTCAAGCATCCTCTGATGGGAAACAAACTAGATCCTTAAACTTATAAAAAGCTTAACATTTTTTTAGGATCACTGAACAAAAGACATTTTTATTTCAAGTGTTAAAACTCTTCTCCCTCTAAATCAAACTTTTCCTTTAAGATATGGTTCATTTCCTCTTAGTATTAATACAAGATGGACCCAAAATATAGAAAAATAAGAAGTTGGTCCCCCTCTCCATGGAAAGAAATGATGTAATATTTTTTCAGATACTATAAAGAATGAAGTTAACCGGAATTAACTTCATAATAGCAAGAAGACAAAGATTAAAAAAAAGCCTTTAGAATGTCTTACCCAGAACTGCTGAACATTTTTAGGGATGATGTCATCCTTATGATTTCCAACTTCAGGCAAAGTCAAAATAAACGGGTTGTGTAAAATCAACTTCTTTAGTTTGTCAACATCAGCACTGCAGAAAATGACATTACATTAAAAACAAATACAATTGCAGAGTGATTAAACAAATGGAAATTAATCTTAAAATAATGTCATGGAACGCACGTGCATGCATATATATATATAAATTTTGAATAATGAGAGATGTAGCATTTCCATTATATGATAAAGCATTTGAGCATGAACATGAAATATATGGTAAGTGGCAGAAACACTATAAATAGCACACCTTGATGTTGCAGACATAAGAAGACACTGGCAACTTCTGGGTATGTGAAGTGTAAAAGCTTTAATATCATTTTCATACCCATATGATAATAGAAGATCTGCCTGAAAGCATCATTTTGAATACCAATCATGTCAACACAAAAAAAATGAAAATGAAAGTTGTTTTAGTCATATGAACAGCTAAGAACAAATATAGAAACTAAACAAACAATATGCAATATCTGATTTCACCTCATCAAGAACTAGAGTTTCAAGCGAACCACTAATCGATGCGGCCTGAAGTATGCCGCCAGACAAGCACTTTGGTATGCAAGCAGGAGTGGAGATCAAAACATCAGGGGGTCCAGCCATTGCAGCTTTCTGCAAACCCAATTTAGAGACAATCAAATCACAGCAATGCATATTCTACTCTACATACAATAATTACGTAACATAATTTCCACATGTGTATAATGTGCAGCAGATATGAAATTGCTCCCTAAAAAATAGTGATAACAACAATAACCAAAATTCTGGAAAGCATAACCAACCAAGTCATTAGCTAGCATATTGCTATTCAACTGCACAACTTTCAGTTGAACCCTGCATAACTCGAGGAGTGATAAGACCTCCGCATACACCTGAAATTATAGATAGCAAGAAAAGGAAATTATTAAACCAAGTGAAACAGGGGAAGAAAATTAAAATATAATAATAATAAATTGAAAAAATAAATAAATGCACCTGTTGACATAGTTCACGAGTTGGTACAAGAATAAAAGCGTTAGGTGCTAGCTTCTTCCTATCAACATTACCGGTAAACAATTTCTGAAGCAACGGAACAAGGTACGCGAACGTCTTCCCAGAACCCGTCTTTGCTCGAGCAACCACATCCTTGCCTTCAAGAATCAGTGGAATCGCGACGCGCTGAATTGGAGTGGGTTTCTCAATTCCCTTCTTGAGTAACGCACGAATGAGGCGAGCGTCCAATCCAAGCTCTTCGAAACTTTGATCATCCGCTTCTTCTTCGTATTCGCGCACAGTTTCTTTCGATGCGTTTTCGTGTGTTTCCGTCATCGCTGCTCGCGGCTGAGATTGATGCTGCGACGGTGGTGGTGAAATCTGAATGCGCCGTCGTTTAGTGTGCTTCGAGCTTCATGCGACTGAAATATATTACGTTAACTATGCCACTGGTAATTAGCTTTTTTTGTTTAGGTCTTCGCCCTTCAGAATAGAGAAACAATTGAATTGAAGGGATACGGGTCCATTTGTGATCCAGCCCAAGATATTGGGCCGTATTATGATTGTTGATTTTCACTATTTTTTTTTTTAAAAAAAATCTAAGATGTTATAATATTTTTCCAATTATATATAGAGTTAAGAGGGTTTGTCATTTTAAATGACACAACTTTGTATTATTTTTAATTAATTTACATCATTTTGATGTATTTTGATATTTTTTTAGGGGAAGGATATACTTACCACCAAAAAAGTTTACAACATTTACAACTAACCTAATCACCGCTGATTTCCAATAAATTATAACCGTTAAATTGACGAAAATCAACGGTGATTAGGTTGGTTGTAAAAGTTGTAAACTTTTTTAGTGATAAGTATATCTTTCTCCATTTTTTTATCAAAATAAAAAGAAAAGAAAAAGTGAAGGAGAGAGAATGCAAAAACACACCAAAATGATATAGTTTCATAAAAAATGGCACAAAATTGTGTCATTTATAATGACAAATATTTTTTTCCATATATCTACTTCAAAAATAACTTAAATTCAATGATTCTTATAGTAATATAAGATTTTGTAATTATTATTTTTTTTGGTAAAAAGATTTTGTAATCTTATCAGCATCTAAATTGAAATAAGATACAAGCAAGAAAAAGATTGCGCATGTTGCTCGAATTAAATCTCTAATCGACTTTTGTTGTGTTGCTTCTTCTTAGAAAGTCTATGGTATTGAGGAAGCATTAGATAAATAATGGACAAAGAAGAGTAGCATTGAACTTTGAAATCTAGTGCTAACAAGATAGTGAAGCATTTTCCGTTGTTACAAAGGAGTGAGCGGGGATTGATTTGTTCATTGTTGCTGTGTTTCTCTTATGTTTCTTTCTTTTTCTCTTTTATAGAAACTTCTAAATATAGGAATATAGATACCTCACAAATTACAATGCTGAAAAGGGATTCAATAGGTAAGAGAAAAAGATAAAAAGAGTTGTTTTCTTTTTGTTTTCTTCTCTGCCTATCCCATCCAAAAGTGGCATAGTATTTCAAGCAAGTTTAAGGGGGGCGTTTAGGGACCAAAGCACGTGGTAATGTATGGTTTAATGTGGCAAGAAAAGTAAGATTTCCAGTTTTCTGCCCAGAGGTGGAATTGCATGGGATACATATAATATCCATCTTTGTATATTAAAACAATTATATACTGTTTGGCATAAATTATTTATATTTTTTAAGCTTAATATCTTTTAAGACAAAACCAATAATACATTCAGACACATAAAAAACATTTATGTCCTCGTTTAAAATAAAAAAAAGAGTTAACTCAAAGATAATTATCAATAAAATTGAATATGGTGATAAATGGCTCACTTTTTCAAAAAATACTAATCTTAAAAAAGTTATTATTAAATAAGTTTTATAGTCATGATGATACTTGATAGCATAATTATCATTGTTAGTATCGCACGATACACGATACGTATTGTACGATATGATACAATTCAAAAGTTATACAATACGTATCGATTTGTTGTATATTGTATCAAACTATATATCGTTGTATCGTACGATACAATATCGAATCATATATTGTACGCTATGAATATCAAACTAAAATTAGCAATTCTCATTTAAAAAATTGAAAAGTATCTATTGATTAGGAAAAGTAAATAAAGATATAATTTGTGGTTCAAATAAAAAAAAACTGAAAAATCATTATTAATAAGGGAAAGAAAACAAATATTTGATATGTGATTAAAATTCAGAAATCAATCGGTAAAATCATAATTAATTATGTCAATGATAGATGTTGATAATGATAGTGATAATATTAGTCTTGGTGATTGATGAGTAAAAGAATATTTGGTTTGAACTTTAGTTATTTATGTATTTTGTTGATTGAATTTTTTTGGAATTTGGATTTATATGATATCATGTGTTTTTATATTATTTTTTATTATGTTTTTATATCTTACTATTCAATGCAATTCACGATATATAATACAAAAAACAGATTAAACAATACATGATACATATTACAATTTAACAACCTTACTTGATAGATTTATAATAAGTTAATAAAAATGTATACATAGTAACAATAAAAAAATAATGTAACTCTCATGTTATATGAAGGGAGAATAATCTCTTGCACACCTATCGATTTTTAAGTTGTCCTTTTTTAAAAAATAAAATAAAAAAGTAGGCCATACAAAAATATATGTGCGCAATAACAACAGAAAAGTAAGCCCTAGTAATAAAAGGGGAGGGGGAAAAATATTTTACTAGCCTTCGAGCTTTGAAAGTGTCGCTATACATTTTTTTAAATCTAAGGATATTCTAATTACCAAAAAAAATTAATAGTAACTTACTACCCATCATATCATCATGGAATTAAATAAAGAGAATCTTAAAAAGTTTTTGAAAAGAGATAAAATGTTAATCTAATGGTGATTAGATAGATAATAAGTTAGTAGTGAAAAATTTTGGTAGTAAGAATTGTTAGAATTTTTAATTCTTCTAAACCTTTTGGTGATAACTATCACCTACAAGCCAAGTTCCATCATACTAAATCATAAAGAAATAAGAGCATAAAGGTGGAGGCATACCTGTCTCCATTGCAGCGGAATAACTTTGATCTTGTCTCTTGGGGTTTGTAGTCTTCCTCAGTCAAATCACCCTAAAACTGAATTTTTTAGTGTGTCGTCTCTCTCTTGATGGGAAAGAGAAACTAGTGTTGTTAATTTGACGTCTTGGGGACCATGACCCTTATAGTATTTTTATCTTTATTGTTGGGCCAATAAGCTCCCATTGTACCTAGTTGGCCCAACACCGGTATCCACTCATTCAGCCCATACTCACTTATGAATCTATTTGGAAATATTTAACTGATCACTTTAATTTACCCAAATAGTACAATATAATTATTAATATAATATGTGACCCACAATAATTATTAGAAAAAATAATTTCCTAACAATCTTCCACTTGGGCCACATATTAACTTGAGATAATTATATCGTATATCTTTAGTGCGCAACTGTATGCTGTTTTTCTTTAGATTCCTCCTTAGATACAATCTGGTCCACCTCCTATATCAATATGAGATCATGGCGGCTTTTGTCACTTTCAAGCGTAACTAAACCTTACATGGTCATCGCACCAATATATTCAATGACATAGATCAGGTATGGATGAGTGGCATGGAAATTACATGCAATGTGATCTTACCATGCCTATTTCCAACTGGTCCTACTTTAATCTTTATGAGATCAATCCTAAATTTTCTGCATACACAAAGCAAAAACACAAGCACAAAATATAATAAATTCAGAGGAAAAATATCATTGATTTCTTTATTCTGCAGAAAACAAACATAAGAACATTTCATTTATTTATTCACATAGAACACCAACATAAAGAACTCCCACTAAACCGTAGTGTCATCAAACAAAACAACACCCATATGAGTAGTATGCTCGTGAAAGACCTTAGGCACTAAGCCTTTAGTAAGCGGATCCGCAAGCATGGAGTTCGTCCCTATGTGTTCTATGGAAATATGACCACTCTGAACTCTTTCTTTAAGAACCAGAAACTTTATATCGATGTGCTTCGATTTTGAAGATCTTCTGTTTTTGTTGGAGTACAACACTGCTGACCTGTTGTCACAATAAATCTTCAGTGGCCTTTCAACACCACTCACTATATGCAGCCCTGTGACAAAGTTTCGCAGCCATACCCCATGGTTGGATGCCTCAAAACAAGCTACAAATTCAGTGGCCATAGTAGAGGAAGCTACGAGTGTCTGTTTAACACTCTTCCAAGAAATAGCTTCTCCAGCCAACATGTAGACATAACCTGACGTGGATCTTTTACTATCTTGGCATCCAGCAAAATCAGAGTCAGTACATCCGACGATCTCTAATTCATCTGACCTCTGATATGTAAGCATATAATCTTTTGTTCTCTTTAAATACCGCATAACCCTCTTGGCTGCTTTCCAATGATCCATTCCTGGATTGCTCAAGTATCTTCCTAACACTCCCACTATAAATGCTATATCAGGGCGAGTACAAACCTGGACATACATAAGACTTCCTACTGCCGAAGCATAAGGTACCTTTGTCATTTCTATCATCTCAAGCTTACCTTTAGGGCATTGGGCAAAACTAAACTTGTCTCCCCTAGATATGGGCGTATCTCCTGACGTACAATCCTTTATGCCAAATCTATCCAAAATCTTTTTAATGTAGGCCTTTTGTGATAACCGTAGGATACCTCGAGCGCGATCTCGAAGTATCTGTTTTCCTAAGACAAAATATGCATCACCAAGGTCCTTTATCTCAAAAATTTTAGTGAGAAGTTTCTTGGTTTCATGCAATAAGCCTATATCTACTGGCAAATAAGATATCATCAACATATAGTATCAGGTATATGAATTTATGTTGAAGAACTCGACAAGTGCACCGATCGTACAAGTAATAAAGTGATAAAGTAGAGTTGTCGATCCCACGAGGACTGATGACCAAGCAATAATTTATTTATTTAATCAAAGTTGGATCGATCATTCAAGGTTTTCTTGAGGATATTGTGATTATATTAAAAGCAGAATTTATAAACTTATTTTTGGTTTTTAATATTTTAGAAATTTAATTCAGAATTAATTAAAGCTAAAAGAAATTGATTTAAGTTTTCAATAAAAAGGCGTAGTTAGGATTCAACTTCCCCAATGGTTTCTTAATGAGTTTTCATATTCTTACGATCACATTCAAGTTTAAATTATTAACAGCTCTTTCTATAATTGACTAAATCTCAATCCCTTGGTAATTTAATTCTTTATTCTAATCCAAAGCCTAATCCCCTAGTACTTTTTCATAAAATAAGCATTAACGCAAGAACTCACAGTTATAAAATTCACAAGTC